ATTTTATTATTGTTTGCAATTTTCTCGTCTCTAGCTAGGTATTCAATCAAATATTATCAAAACACTATACCTCAACTAGACTCAGTGATTGACTGGAAATCAAAACAAAAAAATTTAAAAGAGATGTTTGAACACCGTCGGGGATTGAAGAGCATGGGGAAGAATTCAATTTGGAGAGGGGGGGAATAGATGAAAGAGCTGGGTTACCTGGGCATGGAGAATAGATGAGCTGAACGATAGAGATTGAAGATGATAAAATTCCACTTTTACCCTTTAATAAAAAAAGGAAAAAGAAATTACTTTCGGAGCACCGAAGCAAAGCCCTTTTTAAATTTGTGATTTAATATTCGTGAATGAGGATATTTATTGTAGTAAGTCAGATTTTGATTAGTATTTCTCCGGGACACGCGAGATGGAAGCGAGCAGCCCTCCCAAGCGCTCATTGATAGCCGACGATCTCGGGGCTGACAGAACCTGGTACAGTGCAGAACCCCATTTACTGCTCAAAGACAAAGACGAGAGAAAACCTCTGCAAATAAGTGGGACGTCAAACGTTTTTCTTTTCTTTTTAACTAGATTCTACTCTCATAATAATAATTGCCACCCAACCAACTCTACTGTTAGTAATTAATTAATATCGTGTTAATGGATAATGCTGTATAAAACATCTCTTTGAAACAACAAATATTTTTATAACACTAACAAATATCTTTACAACACTATGTTATTCCCACACACTATGTTAAAACACTCTTAAAATTGAGGGTTATTCCAACACTCCTATTTTTAACTTAATTTGTTGTTATAATAATCTTTTAATGTTGCAACATATCTAATGAGGTAAGATCTTTAAATTTTTAATATAGGTTCCTACTACACCAAACTAAGCATACCATTAATTCCATTCTCCCGCCAACATCCCTGTAGACTGTCTGAATCTGATCAAGCCTCATAATCAAGGTGCTCAAGAATTTCATAATCAAACTCAATGCACGAGTTTGACCAACAAGCCATATACTTGGGATTAGTTAATTTAGAGAAAGATATCCTTCATAATAATGAATCATGCTCAACCATTAACATAACCAAACGAAGTTTTTTCAACAAAATTTTGGGATTTTGAGGTAGAGAAGAAATTCCTGGCGCACAAAGCAACTCATTTTAATTTTTAGGTGATGTTTGTTTCAAAAAAGGAAAAAAAGTCAAGATTTGATATCCATAAAATGACGAAAGATAGATAGCCGCTTTTGAAATTTGCCAAATCCTATTTCCTTAGATAGGATTTGGTCAAGAAAGCTGACAAAACCCCTCCATGTCAGTTCCAAATATAAAAAGTTCTCTTTTATTACAAAAAAAAAAATCTAGAAATTGCATTCCCCACCTTTTTTTTAAACAAAAAATTAGAAATTTCAAGACATATGTAAGAAGCTATGGATTTAAAATTCTTAATGAGTTTCCATTTCCTATAATTTTAGGATTTGAACTAAACAGCCTCTTATTCTAAAAGATAGCATTGAACCTTTTCAGGTTACAAGTGACGGGACATACCAAATGAAGCAGTCATTGAGAATTCCAAGGCTTCGTTCAACTGCTCCTTGAGCCAGCCGAGGGGACTGGGGGGCATTTTGGGAATGGAAGAAGGGAGATAAGGAGCTAAGGAGGGGCAGGGGTGTTTTGAGAAAATGGCGGAAACATTTGATCCCCACGGTAGAGAGGGAAGGACGAACGCCTCTTCTCCTTGTGAATAAAAAAGAGTTCCATTTGGATCCAGATATTCCAGCAGCCGCCCATTGGCCTCCACGGAGCCCATTAGCATCTAGAGCACATAAGATTTTAATTTCACAAAATAATCCCCTCTTGAGTACAAGGATTATTAGAAAATCTCCCTCTAGCTTTAAGCTTTTTATCAGAAGACCGTCCTTTGACTCTGAGATTGTGATCAGAAGGCCCCACCAAAGGTAATACCTTTGTATCCAATAATTATTATTTCTTCACTTAGAGATATTTGGCCATATTATATAGCCGTTCAGAACATACAAATACATACGTAACAACACTGATCTCCCGCTCGATTAACATGAGCCAATACAGAGTAAGCAAAGGAAAGAAAAACACGAATCAAACTTTTAACGAACGATACATTTGAACGGGCGATGCGAAACACTAATGGATTCAAGCAGCAGCAACGTTAAGAAACTGCTCATCCCTCTCCAGATTCTTCATTGCCTCAGGGTCCAGAGTCAGCTCTGCATCAATACCCCCATCCCTCCCCGGGTACAGGAACATGACCCCATCAAACTTATTGTTCAATCCGCTCCGCACCCGCTCCGGACGCCCGAACCCGAACTCCACATCGTACACCCTGAACCTCGGCGAGCTTCCCACCGCCACCGTGTTGACCCCTGCGTCGGTGTAGTGGAACATTTTGGGCTTTGCCTCGTACTCATCCAACCTCGCGTTGACCGCCTTCGTGTCGTGGGACTCAATAACCTTCTGCAGTAGCCCAGTACCGAATTCGGGCGGGCTCGCCTGCAGCAAGCCCGACGCAGTGCCAGTGAAGATGGCCTGGATGAGGTTCCCAAAGTAGGACTCGGGCATTGGAGGGTCGATGCGAGAGCGACAATTCATGAAGATGGCGAAGACGGTGATATCCTCGGGCTTGAGTGCACGGGCACGGCAGACAGAGCGCCATACGTGGGCCCCGAGGGACTGGAAGGTTGAGAAGGGTTTGGATTCAGGAGGGAGGTTGGCGTTGGCCTGGGATTTGAGTTGGGAGAGCGCGGGTTCGGAGAAAGAGAAGACTTTGGCGACCAAATGTTTGGGTGGGCCGTTTGGATCGGCGAGTTCGTGGGCTTTTGGGGAGGAAGGGAGGTCCACTTTGACGCGGGTGGATCGGGCTTTGGTACGGTCGTGGAAGGGAGGAACGGATATAGTTGCAGATGGGCCGCGAGTGAGGTCGGCCCATGATGTCATAAAGTGCCAGGTGGAGTGTCCGTCTACAATAGCATGGTTAAAGGCGCATCCCAGTGCCAAGCCGTTCTTGAGCTTTGTGAACTGCGCACACGAAAAGCATTTTGAGAGGATCAAGCTTAGATTAGCAATTTAACCAAATATGTGAGCAGAATGCAATAATGACAAGAGCAGATGCAGTGATCGGAGAGAACAATATTAAGATGTAGGGCTATTTGCACGTAAATAGCCAAAGTTCATGTCATTTTTAATTTTGATATCCCAAAGTCCTTTTGCACAAAAAGAATACAGCAAGTTTCAGAAAAACATAAGCCTAGATACCCTCAAATGACTTAACACAAGGGTGCACTGAAGTAAATTTTGAACGAAAACTTCCAAGGTATAAAAATTAAGAATGATTTCAACTATGGGGAAGTTTTAGTGCAAATGACCCTTATATTTGTGAAGGAAAATTATTAGAGTGCTATAAGAGTTTATACTACACTTATACTCCTGAACACAATAAGTGAGGTTCGCTGCAACTCATATTTCCTTTCAAAGTTTACAGAAAA